CTCTCTCTCTGCTCCTCCCATGCTCTGTGGCCACACTGAAGCTCTCAGTGCCACAGGCTAAGGAAGAAGCATGCAGTGCTCCAAGAGGGACTCAGACTACAACCACAGCTGGAGACAGAAGTCCAAAGACAGAAACCTTGATAATGCAGGGCCAACACTGGCACCAGTTCCCTTATTTTTATCATGCTTCTAATTATACACCCATGGTTGGTGTCGGAGACCCTCGGGAAATTCCCCGTCTGTGCCCAAGACCCTCTGACTTCACCATGTAACCATTTTTCCTTCCCGTCAGAAGCAGAGGGAATTAAAAGCCTGTGACAATTGTCCGTTGTTCTAAGGGACTTACACCACGATCTCGGCCTCTTTCCCAGAAGATGGACTACACGAAGTGTGCAGAGGAATGAGGGTGTAATGTCTGCTGCTTTCTTCTGAAAAGTCGCTCTTTGTTTAGAAGTGATGCTGGCTCGAGTCTGCATTCTGTTAGATGATGTGAGACTCATGCTCCTTGGCGTCCCCATGAATGAGAGCATCATGACTGGGCATCTCTGAGGTCTTGCAGTTTTGGGTCCCGAGGAAGCGTAAGCAGACGTCAGGACATTTCCTGCCTTGGAGAGCCTTGTGGGCCAGTCACTAGGTGGCTGTCGGCCCATTCTGGAGGTGACAGTCAGCCTGGGCTCTGTTACTGGAGCTCACCTTCAGGCAGAGGGGCTGGAGGCGGTGGGGGCGACATCTGACTCTTCTTGGCTTCGCTTCACGGGTTTTCTTTATGCAGTACTAGGGATTGAATCCAGGGCTTCACATCTGCCAGGCAAGCACTCTACCACTGCATTGTACCCCTAACCCTCTTAGCTCAATCTCTGATGGTTAATGGTTGAGGGTGACGTAAAGGTTAGTGAGAGACCCTTTTCCTTTTGGTTCTTTGAAATTGCAGCCTCAGTTCATTTAGACGTCCTGAACTTGAAAAAGGAAATCACTCCCTAACCCCATTGATGTAGTTGCTAAGTCAGTAGAATAACACCTTTCATGGTGAATTATATATTTCAGGCTTCTCTTTTAATAGTGATTTTACAGCAAATGTCTGGTTTGCAGGTATCTACTAATATCAATTATTAATACCTGGGGATCTATTGCATTTATGAAAATGCCTGGCTCCAGAAGAAACCAGAACAAAGAACAAAATAAGCCAATATTTATTTAGCCTCTTCTGTGTCAAACACTGTGCTGGGTCTTCTGTGTGTTATTATTGAATTATTTCCGATCCAGTCTTCCACAAGAAACCTTCACTGTCATTGCCCTTACACATGGCAAGACTGAAAATGAGGGGGAGCACGCTTTCTACTCAAACAGCTTGTGTGACTGACTTGAGCCAGGAGGTAGAGGAGGAGGAAGCGAAGCAGCAGAAGCCAAGGAGACCTGCCCACGGCTCTTGGAGTGCACAAACCATGGCTTTGTGGGCTGCTCCGTGTTCTGAATCAAAATTTGGGTTTTAGCATGATCCCTGATGACTCATATTCTTTCATTATGAGAAGCAGCATCTACCTGATTAAAACCCACAACCTGCAGAGCTGGGAGGAGAGAGAAAGAAGAGTCTTTGGGGGTAAATGGAGAGAGAGATAGAGGTGAAGGGTAGCAGGACAAAGGCAATCTAGAGGGCCACTGTGTCATGTTGGGGAGAACCAGAGGGATGATGGGAAAGGATGGTTGTCACACTTTCTTCTGTGGCTTTTAGAGTAAGTAAGATCTAACATGTACACAGATGCTGTGAGATGGGAAGAAATTGTTCAGAGGGAAAGGAGAACTAGAATGGAGGAGGAGGAAAGATGGAAGGGAAAAAGGGGGAAAAAAAGTAAGTCAGTTATACTGTTAGTGTCTCTTCATTCACTGAAGGGAAGGTTTGTGCTAGTATTGATTAGAGAAAAATTTAATGCCCATGTCTTATACTCTGAATAACTACTTTAGGGATAACAATATGCAATGTATTAACTGTTGTCATTCTCCTACTGTTTGTTATGAAATATTGTTTTACTCTTTTTCCATAAAATAAAAATAAATAAAGTAAATCCATTCTGCTGTTTTGCAAGAGTCCCTGTCATTCATTTATTGTTTCTGGAGCTGTGAGTTCAGGGTGCGCTCTACCTGGCACACTTCTAAATTTTATTTTCAATCATGCTTGATTTCTGATCTGACACTAAGTTTCTACTGTGCCATGGAGTCCCCCAATTTACAAATAAGCCCTAGTTCAATAAGCTTGGGGCCCTTCATTGAATTGAGAGATCAGGTGAGATTTGTTGATTATGCAAAAGAAGAATGGGGTTCTGGGCATACACGCCTTCCCCTAGCTCCCCAACTTCCCTGCGTCTGTTAGATGTGGTTTCTTGGCCTTTGTAAGCTTTATTTTGCCAAGGAAGGAGTCAAACTGGGGGCAACAGTTTGGAGTCCATGAACACCTCAACAATGTGTTCCTGGGCCAACCATACAGGTCCCCAGGTCCTTTGTGGTCTGCTGCTCAGAAACAGCCCAGGTGTCACCCGGGGACTTGGGAGAGACACAGACTGAAGCCTCCACAGCTACTCAGCCTGAAGATGCCTTTCCCCAAGATTCCCAGGAAACTTTGGTGTTCTCTGAAGTAGGGGCCTTCGCGGCTTCCGTAGTATTCAAAGTGACCTCTCACCTCCAGCTCTTCTTCCCTGTGATTGGTACCTCCTTCCTCTTTGGGGCCCTAGGCACACACATGGGAACCAGGTTCATTTGAGACATATTTTTCTAAAAAATCTCTCCCAAGCCAGACCTTCCAAAGTGCCTCAGGAGATAGTATGATTCTGAATAGATGCCAAATGCAATTTTTGGCAGAAGTAGAGCAAAAGTCCAGGATTATCTGCTCTCACTGTGCTCCAGGGCAGAGGGATGTTACCTATTCTGGGTTTTGTTTACTTAATTATAAACCATTTGTGCTATGGCTGTTCCAGTAAGTCTGGTTTGAAACTAAATATAAAAGTTTTGACTCTAAATATAAAAGTTTTGCATCCAAATATAAAGGTTTTGGAATCTAAATATAAAGGGTTTTACAAAAATAATTTGGAACCTAAGGATATTCGTATTCGATTCTCATTGGGTTTCAGTGATACAGAGAGGAGGTGCAGTTGTGTACAAAGATGCCTGGCTCCCCATGTGACCTGGCAGTTCCACTTGTGGATAGGTACATACACAAGGAAACTGAAAATGTATACCCACATGAAACTGTAAACCTGAGTGTTCACAGCAGCGTGATTCATAATGGCCCCATCTGGAGTCAGCCTCAAGTCTCATCTACTGGTGAATGGGGAAGTGAAATACAGGATGTCTTAGTCTGTTTCTTGCTACTGTGATAGAATGGCTGAGACTGGGTGGTTTATAATGAACAGAACTGTACAGGTTTGTGGTTCTGAAGGCTGCGAAGTCCAGGGTAATGGTATCAGTAGCTCACGATGGCCTTCCTGCTGCATGAGCCCATGTGAAAAGGTAAGAGAGAACAAGAGGTCAGTGGGCACTCCAACATGTCCTCTAGAGGGAATGCATCCCCGTGCTAATGAACTCAATCCGGCTCACTGACATAGATTTTTCGTGATTCCAGACCCCTCATGTTGTACCTCAAATCCCAACACTGCTGGATTGGTAGTTAGGTTCCAAATCCAGTTGTCTTGGGATATTCATTAAAATCATCACACTGTGTGTTCATAAAATGAAATCCTCTATGGCCCTGACCAGCAATGGAGCCACGATGGATGCTACAGCATGGATGGACCTTGATAACATAACGCTACTGAAGTAGATCACACTGTGTGACTCCATTTACATGACAGACCTAGAATGAGGATGATGGACAGAGAAGAGATTGATGGTAATGGGGTGGGTGGTGGGTGGTAAGGTAACGAGCATGAGACTTCTGTTATGGTTGTGCGATGTGCCGCAGTGCTAGGAATATTCGAATGCCACTGAATTGTGCAGTTGAAGGGGTGATGTTAGGGTCCATGAACCCTGCAGTACTGCAGTGGAGCTGTTCTGAGTGGCTTGAAATGAAACAAGGCAGCCCGAGTGGGTGGTAGAGGTTGGTAGGGCAGGGGGTGTGCAGGTAGTGCTGCCCATGCCAAGGGGTGCAGAGAGGCACAGCCAACGTGGACACTGTTTTCCACCACCCAGGGCCCCGCATGGATGGCTGAAGGTGGGAGGCGGCTCCCAGCAGCAACTCCCAGAAGTGGGTGCTTGTGGCAGGTGATGACCCTTCTCCCTGGCTGGGCCAGGTGTTTCTGACACTGTTTTGTTGTTTTGTTTTGTTTTGTTTTGTTTTGTTTTGTTTTTCCCCTTCCCCAAATAAGTCTCCTTTCATTTTTAACTAAGTCACTTTGCCACGAGAGACGTGTCTGCATTTGGAAGTGGTAAGGGTCATGGTTATTGGAAGTGCGTTTACTCTCCTCTGCTTAATTCTTTTGTGGGAGTTTTCGCCCCTGGTAGAGAAGTCGCCGCTCTGGTGAATCAATTCTACAGCATGAACTGAATCCCTTGCGGACTGAGGAGGATCAAAGAGAACAGATACGCTTTGGGGATCCCAGGGCAAAATGAGAATGCTCACAAGTTCTTAAAAATTTCTAGAGATAACCTAGGAAGTGCAAGGACCTTGCACCTTACAAGTGTGGGACCTATATGACCACACAACCCACACCCTTGAGGCCTATATGTCTATAGGTAAGACATGTAGACAACAGAGTGATGGAGAGACAGAGGCACAGATACAGAAACACAGAAAGAAAGACAGGGAGAGATTATCCTGATGCACTTGAAAAGAATTTCATGACCTAATCAGACATGGTATTTGTTGCTGATAGAAGCTACTTCAAAATGCTAAGTTTCTAGGGCATGTCTAAGGGTAATACTATGAAATATAATCTAATTTTAAGAAACTCTCTCAACATGTCATTAACATATTTAGTTTTACGGGGGTTTAATTTGCAAATCAGTTTATTTTACTCCCCAACGCTGTTCTGATGTTGAAAGAGACAAAGTTTTAACACGTATTTCACTCCTGGGGAATTCCAAAGGCAAGGAGCATGATGATGTGGCAGCATTCAGACTTCCCCACATCTTCCCACAGTGAGCTGTCGCATTCCCACCGAGGTGTGGGGAGAGAAAGAGAGAGACACATTAATATGCATATTAATCCATAACACTGGCGTGCGATGGAGTAATAGAAATAAAGAAGAACACATTGCTAAATGTCTCTGATAGGCACTGTGCTAATCTCTATTTTGTAACATTTGATTTTCATTCCTACACTCTTGCCCAAATTGATCATCCATGTGCTAATAGTTAAGGACTCATCCGTGTCTGTGTCACATTGTGTGCATGTGTGTGGACATGTATGTGTGTATGTGTGTGCACACGTGCGCCTGGTGGCAGAAAAGAAGCCTAAATTAACTGGTCACAGCACCTCTGTTTTAAGAGTAATTTGCCATGTAAAGTGTTTTAATGGTGCCCCATACTTTACCCTGGTTATTCTGTAAACCCGTGATGTCTCCCAGGTCCACGGAGGCAGCAGTAGGTAATGGTGCTGAAGGAGAGCTGGCTTTTTGTTAACAGTGTGACCTTGAGCAACTTAGGTGCCCTCTCTGTGCTCTGTGACTTGATTTCTCTCTTTGTACAGTGAATATTACATATTAAACACATGCTCTACTACTAACCTGCATGCCCAGAAAAGTCTGATCTGAAAACCAGAGGTAGTTGTTTGAGATTGGCCAGCAGCCTGCTTGCAGTGTATACAGGCTGCCTTTTTATTTGATTAAATTATATTTAAAAACAATCCATGGCAGTTCTCCAAGAAGCAGAATTAGGGGTTGGAAATGATGGTGCTGTAGCAGATTTTTTTCAACCACAAAGAACAGATAAATCATAATGGGGAGCTTTTTCAGAGAGTACTCAACCCACTACCATTATCAGGCATGGTGCGAATGACAGCTGTCTTCCTGTGGGTAGTCAGGACCCCTAAAGCACACTGCTCTCCCCAAATACAGACAGCAGCATAGAGTGGGGACAATCTTCACAGGATCCCAGCATCAACACACTGGTGTCAGGAATAAACATTTTCTCCGGAGAGTGGAGGGAAGATAACCCCAAATCAGGGACAGCTGTAGTCCCAGAGGAGCTGTCGATAGCGGGATGGTAGTCCTAGGCAAGAGGTAAACTTGGAAAAGTCTCAGTGCACACTGTGCTAGGGAATCAACCAACCTGGGCCGGAACTGTGGAAGAAGAGTGACATCAGCAGTCCAGCAGGCGGCGTGTGCAGCGGCCAGCCCTGGCCTAGAATGGTGACAATACTCTGCAGAGGTGGAGGCCGTGGATGCCCAGGAAGTCTTTGTAATGAGCGACAAGAAAGATCACATTGGAGACTACAAATGGAGGATCTACTGCAAGAACCCTGGGACCCAGGGGTAAAAGAGACAGATCTGAGCCAGTCCTCGCAGGGCCACCTCCCTTGTTCCCATGCCAGCCCCACCTTCAGCATCCACTCCCCCAGGAGCCCGGAGCCCTGTGTGTCACAGTGGCCTTAACCTACTTGACTTTACCATCCTGACACCAGCTCTCCATCCACCTTTCTTGCTTCCCCACTGCTTTGGGGAAGCTGCTGCTGTGTTCCTGACCATGACGGAGAAAACACATCAGTGCAGGGAAAGGCAGAGATGCTGACTACTCCAGTTTTACAGATCACCCTGAAACCATCCTTCCTTTTCTCTACATAAACTCAAAGCTGCATGTGGAGTTTTACAGGCAAATCCTCCCCCACCATCCCCTTCATTGCTCAGTCTGCAGATGATCTCCGTACTGCTCCTCTTACATTTCTAGCTAGAAGTTTATTTCAGCCTGCTCTTTCCTAGTTCTGGGACAGGAGACTAGAATCAAAGATTCTACTCCACCCTGGCCTTGCATCTCTGGAATTGGCTCAGATAGACTTATCATACCCTGTACCTAGTAAAAACTCCAACGTGTGTGTTAACAAGATGATAGTAAACAAACCCTTGGGCCATTCTGAATTCCTGGAGGGTTGGCTTATGTCTAAAGGCTCTGTTTAACAAGGAAAGAATCAATGTATCCGGGTAATCATTTACATAATTGGGTTTTTAAAATGTTAAGCATGTCTTTAAAAGGCCTGTATTATTGGCTCCATGCACCAACCTCAATCCAAAGGGAGCCAAGGAGGAGGAGGGCTCAGGCTGAGTCTGGAGTGATCAGGCAAATGGGGCTGAGGAAAGCCCAGCTATGCCACGTATGTGCATAAACCTGGCCCCTTGCATCACACTGGCTCACTGAGTGCTCACACCTGACATCTCAAAGGGTGGATGGTACTGAGCTTATCTCTCACTTCGCAGAGATGAAAATGAGGAGTGAGGGCAGCTTCCAGGGAGCTCTGTCAATGGACCCATCAAAACCTGCCCACTGGCAACAGTGGGGGAGCGCGTGGAATTCGTGATGGTTCGAGATCCAATGTTAGCAGGTTGCTGCTGTTACTTCTCCAAAACAGAATGTGCTATAAATGCCCCTGCTTGAGGTTCACCTCAGAGAGTCAAAGCTGAGGTCTCAGAGAATAATTTTCAGGAAAGTTGGGTAAATTCTGCAATCTCATCAATTTAACCTCATAGCCTCAGAACTAGCAATGAATGTTTGGGGCTCAACAAAGTGATGACATAGAGAAAAACACACATATTGGTTTTAATGAACTCTAGTCAGTGCAAGGTGGATATCTGTCAGTCAATAGGTTAGAAATAATCCTGGCTCCTGCTCTGCAAGTGAAAGATTTGAGTGTGATGAGCTACAGAAACTCTGTCTGATGTATAATGAATCCTTGTGGGAATAAAACCAGGATTGGCGTTGGAATCTGTTGCTTTAGTTCAGCTGGGCTGACCTTTGCTGAGGTCCACAACTATGGTCCTAATGGTTTCTCTCTTATTTTTAATCTCTTAAAAAAAACCACACAGATTCTTTACCATGTTCCAAGACTGTGAGAGGTGAGATCTTTGAGATGACAGAGAAACAAACTCCATAGCTCCAGATCCACTAATTGCCCCTAATTACGATGTGTGTGCTCTAATATAGCATGGTTGTCCAAGAACAGCAGTTTAGAATTATTTTTGTTTTCCAAGAGAGTAGTGATAGCCCTTAATGAATGTCTGATGTCTCCCCTGAATCAGTACATCCCTGACAACAGATAAACATGTAGCTAAGAATGTATAAATGTGTTAATTAATCCAGCTAATAAATACTTAGATGTTAAGAGAGGCACGATGAAATCTCTGTGTCTACTCCCTAGACATGTGTGCAAAACTGGAAAATACAAACATCGTCCTAGATTCTTATCTGCAAATGCCAAACACACCCACATCTGACGGTAAACGAGGTAAGGCTCAGCAGGGTATCAAAGAGCTTAAAGATTCCCATTTCCCTGGACAAGGCAGTTCTGAGTGGGTTCATCATAGTTTTCCCTGAGAAAGTTCTGGCAAGCACCAGAGGTCACCTTCAGGGCTTCTTTAAGGGCTACAGCCTGTGGTCATGTTTGCTGGTCAGTGACATCCGACTTGGCCAGGGAAATTCCTTGCTGGCACAGAAATCCTTTCCTCCCACAGGCAGTGCTCCAGCCAGTACTCACCAAACACACAAGGCAATTCCAAGATGACAAATAGCCTTCTGCTCTCTTTTAACCACTCACCCTTAGAGCATCCTGCTTCTCTATCCAGCATCCTCTGAATGAATCAGGATGTTCCCACAAGCAAGGAGACACTGAGGCATAGAACATCACCTGCCACCCCCATCATGTTGCACAAAAGAAACCATTTGGGTAGATTTCCAAATAAGTAGTCCTTCCATCCTTGTTTGCTGTGCACATCTGGATGACTTTATAGCTGGCTCTGGCCAGCCAGGGTTAGATTAAAACAATGATGAGAAATTCACTCTAAACTTCTTCCTTCATGGAGGCATATTAACGTCATTTAATATCATATTCAGAGATACTTTCATTTCACAAAATAGAACTGTATTCATACAGGCTGGGTTGAGAAGCAGTTTCACGGGTGACAACCTCTCTACTGTAGGCAAACTGGCAAAATCAAGAGACAAAGCTGTTTCCCTGACTCCAAAGGGCATTGACTTGTCTACTCCTATTTTTGCACAGTGAGGGTTTTCTTTCTTTCCAAAAGCTTCAGTTGGTATAAGATTTTGCTTGGCTGCAAAGATTTATCACTTCTCAGTCCATATAACTCAGAGATCCTCCAGTTGTATCCTCAGAGCAACTGGTGAAAGCATTCTTGCCACTCTGAATTAAAAAGTGTCCAGAAACAGAGAAGAAGTGTTCACAATGTTTGTGGCGGTATGATCTGCCCCAGGCTGGCAGTCAGGGAGGAGGAATGGACCACCTCGGTGAATAGGATGCTGCAAAGCCCCCTGGAGAACTTCATACTACACATCCTTACACAGCAGGACTGTGTTCCAGTATAAGGTATCAGTATAAGAATTGTCACTGTGACCTAAAACATAAAATCCGGAAACCACCAAAAGAAAATTGAAATTAATTATAACTTAGCAAGTCAATTTTTTCAAAACTGGTTCCTGAATCATATCGAAGATGAATTCTGAAAATATATTATCCCTTCATTTTGGATAAAAGTTAGTATCATAAAGTTTGTGGAAATTGCTTTAAAATGTCTTCCTTTGTTTCCGTCTACGTTCACGTGTAAGTTGGTTCACTACTAACACTGCCGTGAGATAAAAACACAGATATGGGTTCTCCCCTGAGAATCCGATTCTAGTAATCTAACCTAGGTTAGGCCAGTTAATCAGCAGGAGGGAAATGTGTCTGTGACATTACAGATTGTGAATATTAATATGTTTAGTACACAACAGAGCAGGCAATATTATGGGGAATCCCTATTAAAGCCATAAATTTTGGATAGGTTATGATTAGAAGACAACTAGAAATTATAAGTATAATAGAAATTCTCCATAATAAGTACCTAGATGCATAGTTCCAAAGGAAGCATATGCACAATTTTGAGAATTCTTATCTTTTTTCTTACTTCATATTTGTTCCATTTATATTTATGTATCAAAAGTAATTTTATGTCTGCTGAACCTAATGAAATAAGTTTAGGTGTAATAGTCTGAATAACATTTTTCAACCCAATTTTTGGTGATTTGTTTTTATTATATTTTATTTTACAAAGATATAAATCTATGGCACTTTGGAAATTCAGAATCAAAGATATGATTGGTGGCCACAGATGATCTAAAAGTGGTGCTCTAATGCAGTCTAATAATAGGAGAATAACAAACAGTTAGTATATAACGTATTGTTACCTTCAAAGTAGTGACTCAGACAGAGTATAAGATACGGGCGTAAAAACATTTCCGAAAAAGGAAGGAAGGGCAAGGGGGAAAAGATACAGGTTAGTTATAATACTAGTTTCTCTTAGCTCATTGAATAGTCAGGTCTGTGCTAGTCATTTCTTATACTTAATTTAATATGATGGAACAAAATTGTCAATAACCTGACCACGAATTTCAAATCTGTGCTCACTTGCATTTAGAAACCCTTAGCCTGACTGGTGGAGAGATATGTGTCTCTCTATCAGACAGTGAGGAGAAGGCACAGACAGTAGGTGGGAAGGGGTGCGTGGTGCTCTGGAGATGACAGGAAAGCAGCAAAGATGCTCAGGGAAGTCGTGATGTGTTGTCCTCCGGGCAGTGCAGCGGGAGGGAAGATGCAGGTCCCGTAAGGGAGAGCAAGCTCAAGTTCCTCATTTAGGAAACGTATGAGCTGTTGTGTACTGTAACCTCTACTATATTCTGTGCTTTGTGTTGTTTCCAAAGATTTTTTCCTTTCCTTTTAGGAGTTCAAAATCTCTTTAAAGAGAGAACAGTATCGTGACTATCTAGGTAGAGGTGGGGATTACAGAATGGAGTTTCCTGCGGGGGGGGGAAGCCTCCTGCTGTGGACCTTTCCTGTCCTGTGACAGCATGGGAAAGTGCCTCTCCTGTGGTCACTCCTTTCCTGGACACAGATGCCTGAGTGATTGAGTCAGATGCAACTAAAAAGCCCATTTGTTTCTGTCACAAATGCCAGCTACCCTAATGGGTAATGCCTCCCCCAGGGCTCCCTGCTACATTGACTGAGGCTGACAAGGTTTGGATCTTAAATGTCCTCAAAGCCTTATGGGCTGAAGACTTGGTTCCTTGCTAATGGTGCTATTGGGAGATGGTGGAACTTCAGGCTTGTGGAAGAAAATCAGGTCACTGGGAGTACACCCTTGGAGGGGACAATGACATCCCAGTGTACTTCTTTTTTCTCTTTGCTTTCTAGCTGGCAAGAGGTGAGAGACTCCTCCACCATCCACTCCCTGCCATGATAGGTCTACTTTGTCATAGACCCAA